GGGGTGTTGGCTCCCACCATTGCATGCACCTCTGGAGGGTATGGGGGCAGGGGGCATTTGCATCTGCATGGGGCAGGGAGGTAGGGTGGGCTGCAGCTGTGAGCTGGGGCCAGGGCAGTGCTGGGCTATTCCTGGCAGGGGCTGGGCCGAGCTGTGCTTGGGGCAAGTGGCGGTGGCACTGGCAAGGGGCTATAGGGGGATGGGACAGGAGGGACTGCAGCCACTCTGAAATTTGCTACAGTCCCCCCCCTCAGTGCTGCCGCCAGTGCAGCACTGTTTCCCCCACCATGCACCAGGAAGAGCTTGGTGCAGCCCTGGCCCCAATCCACAGCTGCAGCCCACCCATGCCCCATGCAGATCTGGAGGCACAGGCCCCCTGTGCTCTCCTGGGGTGCGCACAGCAGCAGGAGCTGCGCCCCTCCTCCCCATGCCCACCAGAAGAGCCACAGCTCCATCCTGCACCCTGTCCTGCCTTGGCTGGGCAGCCCCAGCCCCAGCCCCAGCCCCAGCCCCACTCCCTCCCACACCACAAGGGCCTTGATTTACTACCCCCTTCCTTCCTCCCTCCCCTTCCACAACAGACTTCCTAGCTGCACGCAGTTGTCCAAGCTGCCAGGCTGCACTCCTTGCTGTCTGCGTGCTGTGCTGCAGCTGTGTGCACGCACAGGCATTTACTGGTCACATCAGGCCAATTCCGATACAGTCAATTTTCTTTATACTGGTGCCGATCCGATATCAGACCAACATATTGGCACACCTGTATAGTGTTTCATTTCTTTAAATTCTGTATCTGATTTTTACCATCATTTAAACAAGGGTGCTCAACCCTACAGCCCATGGAGCCACATCATCCAGTCCATGGGATTTGTCACGGGTCTCAAAATTTGGTAGCAGGGGACTGGTAGAACCTAATTGCTACTCCCCTGCTGTCAAAATTTCTGGACCCACCGAAAGCCCTGTGGGCTGCATGGCATGGCCCTACATGCTAGACTGAGTACATGGGACTGACTGGGCCAGGGCTGAGTGGGGCGGGGCAGGG